GAAACCCAGAACTAAAACCAGCCTCAAATACCTCAATTCTTGATTGGATCATGTTAATCTGCTTCTACATTCCCTACTTAACTGTCAGTAGAAAACTAAAGCATCTTAGAGAAAGATGATATCTACAGCAATAACAGTTTTTCATACTCAGTGTTCAGCACTGAATAAAAAGAATTAAATGACACATGAAAAATAGAAAAATAGACAAATAGCAAATATTCAGATGGCAAATTTAAACCTAAATATATCTGTAATTACATTAAATGTAAACAGACTAAATATTTTAATTAAAAAACAAAGATTGTCAGAGTAGACAAAATAACTCCTATATGCTGACACACCTTATTACAAATACAGGAAGTTGCAAAGTAAAATAATGGAAGATGATAAACCAGATTACACTAACCCAAAGAAAGCTGGTGTAGTTCTACTGATAGTAGGCAAAGTAGACTTTATTGCAAGAACATTATTAAAGGTAAAAGGGATATTTCATAATTAGTGTGAAATTTGCATGCACGAAAAATTGTTACCTCAAAATATATAAAGTAAACATTGATAGAAAAAAAAGAAGAAATAAAAAGAAAGAATTAAAGAAAGAGAGAGGGAGGGAGGGAGGAAGGAGGGAAGGAAGGAAGGAAGGAAGAGGGAAGAGAAGTAAAGAAGCCCACAACTATAGAGGGTAATTTTAATAGGTATCACTGAGTAACTGATAAGGAACCAGATCAAAAAAAAAGTTGTCAGTGGAAATATATCTGAACAACACAATTAACAAACTTGATCTACTAGACCTGTATTCAACATTGCAAACAACAATTGCAGAATGTGCATTCCTTTAAGAGCACATGGAACATTTTTAAAATTGATTTGGTGCTAGGGCATAAACTGAGTCTCAACAAATTTCAAATGATTATGTCGTATAACCACAGTGGAATTAAGCAAGCATCAGATAAACTCCATATACCAAGTTTAACATTTACATGTTACAGATAGATCAGTTAATGATTTACAGATCAGTTAATGTTTACATTAACTGATAGATCAGTTAATGTTTTACAACTGAACTTTTAAAATTTAAGGATATTCGATTATAATTGTACTGGTCTTAACATGGCACCAAATGATGATTATTCAACCCAGGCTCCTTTGCTGCTGAAAATCTTTCTATATTAGAGGGAAGGAAACACATTTCTTTATCCTCAAAGTTTTAAGAAAGAGAGTAATATATTTTTGATATTTGTAGAGTGCCCTTACTTATGAGAGCATTCCATGTTATAGAACAAAAAAATAGAGTACATAATTTATTAGAAATAAGACGGGTAACTTGGGTTACCCAGGGAGCTTTAGAAAAGAATTAGGGACTAAACTGGTTTTTAAGCTGTGGGTAGAATTCAAATCAACAGTCAGTGTGTGAGGCATTTAAGACAAGTGTTTCATGTGAATGATTGAGGAGGTAGGAATGCCCTGAGAATGCTTGAAGAAACCACTCTGTTTTGAAGAAAATAAAGAGAATTTTTTCCTCTACCTTTCTGATCCTTTATGATATCTAGACCCTTCTTGCCAAAATGCATGAGGGACATAATAGGAAGCTTTATTTAGTCAACTTTTAAAGAGGACTTTATTGACCAAATCTACAAACTGACTTGAGTTGTGGGTTTTACTTAAGGACTGCATAGTTATTCATGTAATCTTCAAATATCAATTCTTTTCCTACAGACTGGAAATGTCTTCCTCTTTTTTTTTTTTCTTTATTTTTTTTATTCTTATGTTAATCCCCATACATTACATCATTAGTTTTAGATGAAGTGTTCCATGATTCATTGTTTGTGCATAACACCCAGTGCTCCATGCAGAATGTGCCCTCCTCAATACCCACCACCAGGCTAACCCATCCTCCCACCCCCCTCCCCTCCAGAACCCTGTTTGTTTTTCAGAGTCCATCGTCTCTCATGGTTCGTCTACCCCTCTGATTTCCCCCGCTTCATTCTTCCCCTCCCGCTACCTTCTTCTTCTTCCTTTTTTTTTTTCTTAACATATCTTGCATTATTTGTTTCAGAGGTACAGATCTGAGATTCAACAGTCTTGCACAATTCACAGCGCTTACCAGAGCACATACCCTCCCCAGTGTCTATCACCCAGTCACCCCATCCCTCCCACCTCACCCCCCACTCCAGCAACCCTCAGTTTGTTTCCTGCAATTAAGAATTCCTCATATCAGTGAGATCATATGATACATGTCTTTCTCTGTTTGACTTATTTCACTCAACATAATACCCTCCAGTTCCATCCACGTCGTTGCAAATGGCAAGATCTCATTCCTTTTGATGGCTGCATAATATTCCATTGTATATATATATACACCACATCTTCTTTATCCATTCATCTGTTGATGGACATCTTGGCTCTTTCCATAGTTTGGCTATTGTGGACATTGCTGCTATAAACATTGGGGTGCATGTACCCCTTTGGATCACTACATTTGTATCTTTGGGATAAATACCCAGTAGTGCAATTGCTAGGTCGTAGGGCAGCTCTATTTTCAACTTTTTGAGGAATTTGTTTCACATGATGTCAAAAATTAACTTGATGCTTTGTTTTTCCTCATTCCATATTCCTATTTTAAGTAAATGTAGAATTCTAGTTTGAAAGTTATTTTTTTCTGAGCACTTTGAAGATGACCATAGTTATAGAACAGAATGGAAATATAAATATTAATAATTTAAATAATTCAGTTATATAGTAATTCAGTTTTACAACAATGTTTACATATATAGAGTATGTAAAGGATATTGGAAATGTAATACTTTCCTAATAACATTAGGCAGTTTGATGATATCGTTAATACATCAAGAAAGAAAGCCTTAAGAATATTATTCAAAGTCGTGGAGGACTTCTGCTTTCATAATGGTTTATTAGGTAATACAAACCAAGTCTTATCCTAAATACAATTAGAAAATCTGGAAAAATATATGTAGAAGTTATCTGCTTGAATTTACTGATCGCTAACAAGATGACGAAGGAGGACCTGGAGGAGAAAGATAAATAGAGTACACCAAAACCTGAGCAGGAACACAAAGTACAAATATATATCTAGGTTTTGTATTAATTCCTTCATTTTAAGACTCACCTCTTCCCTATTCTGGAAAATTTGGTGCCATTATCACTGATGTGATAATTACTCCTCTCCCATTATTTTTGGTTTCTTCTGGAAATCCTAGTAGATATATGCTGAATGCTCTCCATCTATCTTCTATATCTCTTAAAGTCTTATTTTAAATTCCTTCTATATTTTATGTTTTATTCTGAAAGCTTTTCTCATGTTTTATCCATTTTGTGAATTATTTCTTAAGTTTTAATTAATGTGTCCATTGAGTTTTTTATAACTGTTTTTTTACTTATAAAAGTTTAATTTTGTTATTTAGCAAAATGTAAATGCAATATGATCTAATATATTAATTGTATATAGCCTCTTTTAGGATGTTCTTTTTTTTTTTTTTTTTTTTTAGTTCTTTGTTGAGTTACCCTCATAGGAGTTTTGTCACTTGTGAGGCTTGTAATTTTTTATTGTGATTTTGTTATTAATAGGGATTGCTCCCTATGTGAGTTCCTTTTATCCTCAGTTCATACATAAGGCTTTAAATTTGCACTTTCCTGGGGATGCCTGGGTGGCTTGGTCGGTTGGGGGTCTGCCTTCTGTTGGGGTCGTGGTCCCGGGGTTCGGAGTCCTGGGATCGAGTCCCTTGTAGGGCTCCTTGCTCAGCGGGGAGCCTGCTTCTCTCTCTGGCTGCCACTCCCTTTGCTTGTGCTCTTCTCCCTCCCCCCACCCAACAAATAGATGGATAAAAGTCTTTAAAAAAAAAAAATTTGCACTTTCCTGGATCCTAGGTGTTTTACTAGTTGTGTACCAGACTGTACAGTAATTTTTAAGCTTTGAGTCCTGTACTATGTGTAAATGTTTATTCTTCACCTACACAAGTTATAGACCTAGGATCCTGATATTGTGACAACTGTACCCAGTTCCCCAGCTAGACTAGTGGGATGAGTTTTTGTTGCCTCCATTTCACATACAGGTGATCCTCCAAGGTTCTAGGCTTTAGGCACGAGAGCTCAATTCCAGTTCCTCGCTTTGCGTGGTCCTGGGTCTCATCTCCTATTCCCACATGTATGATGAACCCCAGAACTCAACCCCTTAGGCCTTTATCCTAGTTTGGTATCACCGTGAACAACTTCAGTTTCAGTGACTGTTTAAAATTCCTCTTTATTTCTGGACTTGCAGATTCAAGCTCAGCTATCCATTCATCTAAAAAGAAAACAATTTAGCCTTTCTATAGATTTGAAATGGAAGAGCGGAGGTCCTCTCATATCATCTTAGCCATATAGACCTGATGTTTTCCCTAAGAAACTTCTCAATTTCATAGATACATATTATTTATGATATATTTTTCCCCGTGCAAACATGAATATAGATCCTCTACATAGCTATATATATTCATATTATATCGTAATAATTTACAATACATATTCTAGTGTAACATTTGGGGGATGCTAAATATTTATCTTTTACATATTAAATTAGGAGACCCTGTGTGTGTGTGTGTGTATGTGTATACACAAGCATATATATGTTTGTAATTTATATACTGCATAACACTATATTCATTTTCATTATTACTACCAAATATTTATTGAATGGCTACTATGTTCCAAGCATTATTCTAGGTACTTAAAATGAATCAGTGGATAAAACAGAAGATCTCTTCTTATAAGTTATTTCTTTCATGCTAGTGAAAAAATGGAAACTTTTTCTTGCTTTGGGAAGGTAACGTTGGACAGAAGTATGACATCCTTGCAAGACTGTTTAGATCCCCTTCTTTCACAGACTTGGAGTTTGACCTGCCATCATCCCTTTTGCAGACTCTTCCAGACTGTTTCCATCACCATCACTGGTATTTTTATGTTGATGAGTGATAATGAAGTTTAAGTTACTTCCATATTTTTTACAGCTTCGACAATGGAGTACCTTTGGAACCCTGGAAGTTGCAGCTCAGACCAAATCAGAAACAAAGGAGCATTCGGTGATCACAGAAGAAGATTGTGAAATTCTTAAAATCCCTGCAAAGGATTATGCAAGGTTAAAATCGGTACGACCATATCTAATCTATATATTAACACAATATTTGTGTAAATTCAAGCTAAGTTTTGCCTCTAGACAGATGTCCGTATCTTTGTAATTTTTAAATATAACTTAACTTGGAGACATAAAAATGTGGTCTATTTGATGAACATTATTTAAGCTTCTGATGGTGATGGGTAGTTGAAGTGGAAAGAAAGGTCTCTATGGATATATTTTATGTATATTTTTAGCACTTTGGGTTTTTCATGAATTTCAAATCCATTCATTTATACATTCACTTATTCATGTATTCACTCAACAAACATAAGTTTTGGGTGTCAAAGGCATGTCATGTGTTAGGGATACCAGACGATCATACAGAGAGATCTCTAAATCTGTACAGTCCACCTGAGGAAAAAAAATACTTGGGAGTGACTGGTATGCTATTTCATTGTTTTAATAGATATTAAAAACCCAGAGTTGCATGAATAGGTGATCACAACTTAGTTCTGACCCCCTAATTCTGCTACATTCAGATAACTTATTTACTTCAAGTTTACCAATTTACTCTCCAAAATTTTCCCTCTTTTTGATTTCTCCTCCCCTGATGACAGAGAAAGTTTTTGTAACTGCCTGCACTGAAAGACGCCCATTGTCTTCTCTGCCAGCTTTTCTTGATAGGATCTAAGTCTGGTGCAGGGGCAACAGGGCACCGGCATCACCTCCAGTTGTGTGCTCAGGTTGGAGGGAGATGAGGAGACAACCATCTTTTTGATTTAGCTCTCTAATAATAGTGAGGGTTTCTTTTGATACAATGGTCTCAGTGTCAGTGGTACAGATGACTTGCTCAGAATTCAACTTCCTTCCATATCGCTGATTTCAGAGTGGCTAGCTTAAAAGAAAAAAATTGTTCTGTATGTTTTATTTTCAAAATATAAGTATCAATGATTCAGTATTATTAAGTACAACTTTTGAGATTGGTCTTGACTATGACAGGATTTCTTAAAAATGCTAGAACATTTATGGAAGTCTAAAAATATTATGAAAGGTGGGAAAATATAATTTTAGTGGCAAATCTGAAGACTAAAATTTCAATATGGTTATGTGACCATAGAATGATGCTCCTATAAAATTCAAATGTATTTTATACAATTTACACTCATATAACTTTTATTTTTCTGTTACTGCCATTTATCTCTCTGTGCTATACATTTCCCCTTCTTTTTTAATGACTTTTTTCAGGAAAAAATAAAACTTGAAAATAAAGAAAAGGTGAAATTAATTCGTAAATGTCCATATTATGAAGAGTGGCCCACTTTATCCATATATGAGCTAGTTGCACTCATTAAATGGAAAAAATTTCCTCCAGGTCATGGTGAGTTTAATGCAATTTGGGATCGTTTTCTTTACATAACATAGTATTGGAATTTGTAATTTTTCATCGTTTTAATGTTTTATATAATATTTCTTCAAATGAGTGTTTCTCTAACTTCTTAATGTATTCTTTTAACTGGACATTTAGACTATTGCCTGTTTTTTATTAAAAAATAGTTCTGTAATGGCTTAAAGAGTGATCTCAGAACTGGCCTTACTCATATCTCTCTGTATTTCCTCATGGCCCTACCCTTATTGCCCTACTCTGACAGTCAATGTAAGGACCAAAAGGAGAAATGCAGTGAGAAGTTACATTCATTTGTCCTGTTCTCCTGATTGAACACCTACTTAAGAAGCAAGTTTGCTTCTCTTTACTTGTAGTACACATTATCAGTGGAAAATATAGAGGAAAGGTGAGGCTGAGATAAGGGGTAGCAACAGTGAAGCTGCCAACATTTCCAATATTCGGCATGGCAGGGATGTGTGGATTTTCTGCTTACATGTACACAAAAAGTGTAGGTGACATTACATCATTTTGTACAATTGTTTCTGTCTCTGAGAACCCATTAAGTAAGAGATGTCAGCTGTTATGGACTGAATGTTTGTGTCCCACGAAATCCATATATTGAAGCCCTAAACCCCAATGTGTTGCTATTTGGAAGTGGGACCTTTGAGAGGTGATTAAGTCACTAAAGTGGAGCCCTCATGAGTAGAATTAGTGCCTTTATAAGAAGAGACATGAGAGAGATGATCTCTCTCTCTCCGCCATATGAGGATACAAGGAGGCAGCTTTCTGCAAACAGGAAAGAGGGATCTTACCAGACATTGAATCTGTTGGCACCTTGATGTTGGACTTCCCAGCATCCCAAACTGAAAAATAAATGCTTGTTGTCTGGGCCATCCGGCCTATGATATTTGTTATGGCAGCCCAAACTGACTAAGACACCCACACAAGAGGAACTATGGTAGGTGGGTCAGAGCAGCTTTAGATCTCCTTCAGTAAGGAATCCCTACTGCCCTACAAGAGAGAGTCACAAACAACAGAGAGAGGTTTGCAGCCTTGCCTGGCTTTTCTCTTAGTGAAACAGTGGATTATAATAGAAGAGGTAGTGTTTGAGAGAAATACTTGCATTTCAAGCCTACAGAGCCATAAATGTAGTGAGGGATATGTTGCCAGGAAGAGAACATTTCTGAATTAAATGGAAAGTTAAAATTCTAAAAAGAATGAGTCTGAGTCCTTAATGTGACTGTTAATAAAAATACGGTGAAGAAAAATCTGGCTAAGATATCCTTTGAGGGAGTCACTGTGTAAGAGAAAAGTGAGGTGTAGCATAGAACCAATTCAGAAAGTTCTTTTATTAGAAGAAAAGTAAATATCATTAGAGACAAAGTTATGCTTCAAATACTGAGATTCTCTAATAAACTTCTTAAATTTGGTGAGATTATAGCCCTTTACTAAATTTGTTCCAAATTTCTTTCCAGTGCTTATTTTTATATTTTATTCATCACTTTTTAAAAATACAGTGTTTAATCCGTATTTAGCCAAATATATATATTTTTTCTTGCTTGCAAAAATTGAATTTTAGATATATTTTTGTTCATGAAACATTTTTTCTAATGAGTTATAAATGCTACTTTTGGCCAATAGTACATTTAAGAAAGCAAGTAGTAAACTGACTTAGGAAAAATTAGGAATTGAACATTCCTAAATTCAGCATATTTATTGTATAGAAACATTTTTTTTTAAATATGGATATTTTGATTTATCATGGGTTCCTCCTTTTGTATCAGAAATATCACATTTTGGTCCACGCCTCATTTCCAGGGCTATTTTGTATAAAAAATAATGTCTCCATCTTGCCTATCTATAAGGACATTAATATTTTTTAGGTTATTAAAAAGGAGGAAAGGGGGCACCTGGGTGGCTCAGTCAGTTAAGCATCAGACTCTTGATTTCAGCTGAGGTCATGATCTCAGGGTCATGCTCTGTGCTCAGGGTGGA